GCATGTTTGGTGGGACGGGGATTCGAACCCACGACCCGCAGATTGCGAGTCGAGCGTCCTAGCCACCTGGCCATGCCGGGCCCCGTTGGAAGTGCTAATTAACTTACTGTAACTTTTCAAACAAGCATTCTCCTCAAGAACTTGGCCAGGTGGTTACTGCACTCGACTCGCACACTGCAGATCTCCCCATCCCACCAAACATACTCGCCCTTTAGCCCTGTTTGCTTGCTTGTTTTGAATTTCGCGCAAAGCCGTCCCTAATTTAGCAGTGAAAGGGTAGAGGGAAGGCAGCTAGTCATCACCACCCACCGCCATCGCTTTGGCTACACTTTTACCAACTAATAGCGGGATTGACCGTCACATTATAACGCCCTCACGGCTGAAAGGGCGAGCATGTTTGGTGGGACGAAGATGCGAACCCGCGACCCGCAGATTGCGAGTCGAGCGCCCTAACCACTTGGCCATGCCGGGCCTGTGCTGTGGGAGTCAAGGCGCTGTTCTGATAGAGGGTAGGTTTCTCACTCTTCGTGGATTTTATAGACAGTGAATATTATTTATATTCCAGCAGCAATAGTAACTTAATTATACCCTATTGTTTCTTGAAGGTTAATTTTATTAGTGGTATTGGTTATAATTTTTTTATTATAATTTTAAAGGTTATTTCACATTGTTAGCTTAGGACTAACTTAAATCTATTAAGGTGGCTGAGCCAAGTATAACTTTTACCACGGGGTGGTAGCTCTAACTTGGACATCAACCTAAACACGGAAAAATTTTACCAAAGTGCAATATATATATATATATCCTGCTTTCATTGTTTTATAGTCTGCGGACTTACAACACTGGAATCCGGGTTTCGATACTCGTGGTGGGCAGAGCACATATAGCCCATTGTGTCGCTTTGTGCTTAATTACGAACAAACAATCATTGTTTTATTATTTCTAATTTGATTTTATGATAATTAGTTTTTATAACGATTATCTTGCCTTATTAGCTTAGTATGTAGTTAGGAAATAACCTAAGCCTCCTGGGCCGGCCGAACTTCGTAAGATATTATTGGGTTTACAGCCGAAAATATCGTTTATAGCAAGGATATCCAGCTGATGAAACTGTATTCTAATTTTTATAAGTGATATAGTTTGAATATTATATCTATTAGCTATGCTCATTACTAGATATATATTTTAGTTCTGATATATGTAGGTAGTTTACTTTGATTAGAAATTAATAATATTTATGCGATCACAATGAACCTTTATTATTATTATATATGTAACATAACTATTAATATATCGTTATAAAAGCTTTATTTACATTGTACATACATAGGTATGAGCCCATATGTGTGTATGTATTTATAGTTTATTTCCTGTATTTTTTTGTAATTTAATTTTTAACGAAGTACTATAATTAGCTTATATTTATATTTCGACTCTGCTTCACTAAACCTCTGATAAATCCACTTGTAACTTATGAATTTTCATGTGTTTAATATAGAAAGTGGGTGGTTCATCATTTCATCATTCGCACCTAATTCATGTTTTTTAACTTCGACATTCTAAATATTAAGTTGAAACTAACTAACCGTGTAGCTTTCCTGGAACATCCAGTAGAAATGAGTTAAATACTTTGGAAACGGAATTCATTTCGACAGGAAAAAATAACTGGATAACATAGCCCTAAATTTCAGTGAACATACTTCAATTACGTACAATTGATTGAACTCTGAAGAACTATGTATACCTGCTTTGGCGCTATGAGGAAACCAACATGAAGCTTGAAAAAGATTGATGAACTATTCAGATTGGAATATGTTGTTTGAGTTTCATTTCAATTAATATCGATTTAACTAATGTTTCATATATGAACACTATAGTTATAGCTATATATATATGTATACGTTTTCTCCATTATCAGATTTTTTGCACTTCATATGTTAGTCAGCAGTTTAACTACGTGTCAGTGTTGTGCTCATAATTAAATAATCGAAGGCTGGAACGTTAACAAAGTACTTGAAAACCCATATAATAAGTACTAATTCATTAAAAGCTGTGATTTGACATTGTCTGTATTATATGTACAAAGCTATCTTTGTTTCGTTCAAGTCATTTGTGAAGTGTCTAAACTGTTATTCTTTTACAAATCCTAAATCCTTTGTAAATATTTGCTTTAAATTTTACAGCAAATTTGTGTGTATTTATGTTGTGGATTGCCGTGTTTATTGTAAACATCAGCTTCTGGTCCTTGCTGTATTTATCTTGGGTGCGCTGACTAATGGGTGTGTTGAAATCGTCGACAGGAAGCAGAGACGCTACTGAAGGTACAATTTTTAATGAAGTTTTAGAGTGTTTAGTTTATTAAGATTATGAGAGACGAAAGGGGCGTTCCTTTTACTTCCCTTAGTATAAGGTTAAGTACGTTATAATAAAACGATTTTAAATATCCAAATCTGCAACTCACGTGACAATCACAGTCAATAAAAAGTCGCGGTGAAACATAAAGTATCAGAACCAAATTTTGACATTTTGGGGTGAATCGTAGGTTCTGTTATATCACCGAAAATTGTTTGCTTTTGGTAAAAGCATGTAACAGCCCTTTTCATAACAATGCCCCACCCCCAGTAGCACAGCGGTATGTCTGCGGACTTACAACGCTA